AGGCGGCCAAGTAGGTGCTCAGGAGGCGCGAAGGCGGGCGGCAGAGGCGACCAGGTGGGTGCCCGGGAGGGGCGAACTTAGGCGGCGAAGAGACCGAGCCCTGCGGAAGGGCGAACCCTGGCGGCGGGGAAGCTGGATCCCTCAGGAGAGGCGAACTTAGGCGGCGGGGAGGCCGAGCCTTCAGGAAGGGCGAGGCCGGGCGCGGTGGCTCACGCCTGTAGTCCCAGCACTTTGGGAGGCGGAGGCGGGCGGAGCACCTGAGATCAGGAGTTCGAGACCAGTCTCGCCAACACGGTGAAACCCGTCTCTACCAAAAATACAAATTAGCGGGGCGAGGTGGCGGGCGCGGGTAATCCCAGCTGCTTGGGAGGCTGAGACAGGAGGATCACTTGAACCCGGGAGGCAGAGGTTGCAGTGAGCCGAGATCGCACCACTGCACTCCAGCCTGGGCAACAAGGGCAGGGGGGAAGGAAGAGCGAACTCAGGCGGCAGGGAAGCCAGATCCTTCAAGAGGGGTGAACTTAGGCGGCGAGGAGGCCGAGCCTTCAGGAAGGGGGAACTCTGGCGACGGGAAAGCGGAATCCCTCAGGAAGGGCGAACCCAGGCAGGGAGACGGATTCCCCAGGAGGGGCGAACGCGGGCAGCAGGGAGACCGATTCCCCGGGAGGGGGATACAGGGTGCGGGGTCGAGCTGCGGGGGCGAGCTCCTGGCCCTGCCCACTGTCCTGCCGCAAGACCCCGCACCTCCCGGTGTGTGTGAAAATGCTGCAGGGCTTCAGGACCCCTAAGCCCAAGCGGCAGTCGGGCCCTTTCGAATAGGCCCTTCTTGCTCGGGGTCCCCAAAGTCGCTGGCAGGGTCCCCCCACCCCCGAAAGAGGCGCCCACCAAGGACAAGCTGCGCCTCCCTGCAGCGAGGAGGGGCTAGAAAGTGGAAGCGAGGGTGCATTTTATTAGGAGTCACTGAGAGGGGTGGGGAGATTGGAAAATCCAATCACAGAGCAGAAAATCAGTGCTCCAAGCCCCAGCTCATCCTGGGGGTAAGATTTCCAGTCTTCGTACACACTGCTTTTTTGTTTGTTTTTGAGACGAAGTCTGGAGTCTCACTCTGTCGCCCAGGCTGGAGAGCAGTGGCTCGATCTCTGCTCACTGCAAACTCTTCCTCCCGGGTGCAAGTGAGCCTCCTGCCTCAGCCTCCCGAGTAGCTGGGATTACAGGCACCTGCCACCACACCCAGTTAATTTTTGTATTTTTAGTAGAGACGGTTTTGCCGTGTTGGCCAGGCTGGTCTTGAACTCCTGACCCCAGGTGATCCACCCACCTCGGCCTCCCAAAGTGCTGGGATTACAGGCGTGAGCCACCGCGCCCGGCCCACACTGCTTTTTTACACTTGCTTTTTTCTTCGTTTTCTCCTTAACAGTTTATACGGGTTTAATTGACATGCAGTAAACTTCCCATATTCAAAGCAGATGGTTGGATAAATGTTGAGATGTGTGTTTTGCATGTTTCACGTCCCATCTGTGCTTTCTGCTTTGGGAGTCGCCTCCTGCGCAGGCAGGAGGGAGTGCCCTGGCCGGCCTCTAAGCCGTGGTCATGACCGCCTTCCTTCTTGTGCATCATGCAGTCACAGGGGCTTCCCTTTGACGAAAGAGGCATTGGGACACAGAGCTGGGGGGACTGCTGAGGGCTGGAGCCATTAGAGCCCACAGTGATGCCTTGATGAGCGAGTCATTCATTTCCCTGCGTGTGTGCCATAATATGGGTTTTGACCCGTGAGACAAAACCCACCTTCCTTTTCTGTTCTCCTGGATTCACTTCCTTTCCAGGCCTGGTTTTGCTTTTGTGTAGGGAAAGCGGGATGTTTGTTTGGTTGGTTGTTTGGTTTGCTGGTTGTTTCAGAAGTGCAAGAGGGTGGCCAGGCGCAGTGGTTCATGCCTGTGAACCCAGCACTTTGGGAGGCCAAGGCAGGCGGATCACTTGAGGTCAGGAGTTCAAGACCA